GAGACTACTTTACTGTAAGTAGATGTGATCAGGTGCATCCACTAAATTAAAGCAGCCCTGGCATGGTGGTAAAACTAAAACTTTATTTTTCAGCAATAAGAGAACAATGCTTTGCATGTTTTCTTCCATAAAAGATCTTTTGCAGTAGATGGAAATATGTAATCACCGTAGCAACTCTACTGGCTAAAGAATTGGGAGTGTTTTAAACTGGCCCAACTTCTTGTAATACAACACATTGAAATTAGAGAATTATATTAAAAGGGGTTGGTTGTTAAAGTTATTTAAAAACTGCTCTCAGATGTAGGCCCCACATAAAAAAATGTATTTTTTCATTGTAAAATGGAATTCTCAGCACTTGACCACAGTATTATAAATGACACACTGCTATTAGAATTAGGGCTGTACATCATTTTTTTCTTCTAAGACTATATTTTTGTATCTTTACATGAAATAATCTGTGCAGCTGAAAAACTATTTGGTTAAATCCAAAGATCTTCAAGTAGTTCAAATTATTATGGAGATTCTCAGCGCATAAAAGGGTCTTTTCAGGAATTATACATAAATTTATTCACAATGTGACTATAAGGGTTATCAACACCAAAATTGTGTTAATTGAAAAGGGAACTATGCTGTAGGTGTGAACTGGACAGGTGACTGGTGCAATAGAACAAAACTACTATGATATCGCTATAAAACAGCATATAGAAGTTTGCAGTACTTAATCCATTTAAAATTATTTCTATGCAGAATACATGTATTACTGTAAACCAAATATAAGATTCATTTTAGGTTATAAAAATATTAGGAGAAACTGCCTGCCTTTATACGCTGCCTTTATACAGTTTGCATTTAAAGTATTCGCAGGCAAGATTAGCATTAGACTTTTATGACTATCTTTTCAGGACACACTTCTTTCCTTAAATTCAGCTGGTTGAGATATATTCTTCTATATTGTCCACATCTTGAAGATCATTCCTCGCCCCCTCCTTTGTTCCCCCCTATATTATCCCTAGCTCCCCAGATGGAACTTCATGCTGCTCTTGAAAGATATAAGAAATTTTCAGTCTATGTGCTTCCCCGCTTTTCTCAATTTTGAAGGCCCACATCATGTCCTAGGAGAACAGGGCTTAATGTGGTACTTGCTAATGTCTATCCAAATAGCTACATTCAAATTCAAGAATGAAAGGTTCTATTGTCTAAATTGTTTGATGCCCCTTGCCTGCTTCTCTCCCTAACAGTTTCTCTCTCCGTACAGGATATCTAACAGTAGGTAACTATATTGCCTGTTGTGTTATGCACCAATATAATTCCCATTTTGATTACTCAGAAGAGTTCTGCAAGGCACTCCAATTTACTATCATAAGTGAAGAACAATTTCTGTGTGTCAGTCTCTTGCGGTCTCATCAGTCTCTTGCTGGTTTAGTGAACAAGAACCAGGACTAGTTCTCTCAGAGTAGTGAAGTCAACCGTCTAGGGGTAGTTAACTTTGAATATTCCATTTTCAGCGATGCCAGAATTTCAGTTGTTTATAACGACAAAATTTTGAAAAAGAAAAGCCAACAAGGATGTTACTTTTCTGACTTGAAATTTATAAAATGCATGGATGTTACTTTTCTGACTTGAAATTTATAAATTTATAAAATTTATAGAAATTTATAAAATTTATAAAATACTTATACATCTCATTGTATAAGTATTGCCGGAACCTCTAGTCCGGCAATAATCCATAGTCCAGCATGATTTTAGTTAGCCAGGTGTCTACTTATTATGGATGGGGCCAAATTTCCTGTGCCCTCCCTTACCCCATCCATGCTCCTTACTACTCCAGGCTGGGACAAGAGCTGAGGGTGGCTGCAGAACCTTGAGCCAGAGCCAGGAGTGGAGCCCCAGAACAGGGACCCGGAGCAGTAGTAGAGGGGCTGGCAGCTGGGACCATGGGCCATCACTGGAACTCCCACGTGGAGACCCTGGGTGCAGGGTCACGCTGAACACAAAGCCTGAGGGGGTGCAGGTGGTGTTGTAGCTCCCTACTTCCTGCACCTATGGAGACTCGTGCACATTGTTGACCTCCAAAGGTTTGGCAAATTCTCTGTTTCAAGCACCATTTAGATCCCAAGGGTGCTGGACAAGAGAGGTTCCACCTGTATTTACTTCTACTAGTCCTGTGATGTTTTTGGTCTCTCATTTACATATTATAAAGTTCTGAGTTTCCAGCAGTCAGCATAGAAAGTTCCTGCATAATTCCTTGAAATATAAAATACCTATCATAAAAGGAACACCCATCAACTTAAAATATTCATTTTTAGTAGTGGTAAAGTAGGGACAAGTGTAGTGCCTGTGAAATGAATCTGTTTGAAAATTTCTGCTTTTACAATCACTTTTTAAAAAATTGTTTCTCCCAACACTTCTTTGTTGCTCAGTAAATATTCAGATTAGTAAATAAACTAATCTGACTGTAGTTTTTATTTTATGCAAAGTATTGTCAATGTATGACATTAACAAATGGATAAAAATGGAGAAAAACATTTTCTAACTTATTTCAGAAAATTTCTAAGCTCTTTCACATGTGAAAACACCGCAGCTATCACTTGAATTTATTTTCCTTTATGAAACTGGTTTTCACTTCACTAAATAAAATCCTTTATATACAAAGTGAAATTGCAAAACTTTTACAATACTGTAATAAATTTAATAGTGTTGAGTAAGAGACCTAGCGTATACATTGTTATGGTAACATTACCAAGCAGATAAAAAACCCACACGCATTTTTACGGAGTCAATTATTTAAAAAAGTAACTGAGCCATCAAAAAGTCCACATGTCTTGACAGAATAATCAAGTAATCTTATTGATAATAACCATCATTTGCTCTCAAGCTACATCTTCCCTGCAGTTTGTTACCCCAACTTGTCTCACTGAGCAATATTCTCACAAGTGAATAAGGATTTTGAGTGCACATTTTGAAGCACGTTAAGCAGCCTGATTTTCACAGGCCGAATGCTTAGTTAGCATTGTCTGAAAATCTGGCCTCTTCAATTTATCTCAATTTTTGAGAGTATGTCTACACTAGCTCGTTAGTTTGAGCTAGGTAGGCAAATGAGGGCAACCGGAGTTGCAAATGAAGCCCGGGATTTAAATATGCCGCGGGCACGGAGTTCGGACTAAGGGGGATTTAAAAATGGCGGCGCCCGGGAACATGCAAATGAAGCCCGGGATATTTAAATCCCGGGCTTCATTTGCAACTCCGGTTGCCCTCATTTGCTTTCCTAGCTCGAACTAACGAGCTAGTGTAGACATACCCTGAGCAACCAAGCAGGGACCTCCAAAAAATCACTAACTGCTTTTAAATCTCTTGGACATTGTGTTCACTATGAGATATTTCAGGGTAGGATCCATGATGTTCTATTTCTGTAACACTTAGCAAATTTTTAGACATTAAATAAAGTTATCCTTTTATATAATTCATGCCAAGATTTTCTTTGTACATTTCCACCACCAAATTTAAAAAATGTTTTGTTGAATGAATTATTTTATTTTGATTTAATTTATTTTTTTATTTAATAATTCTGAATTTTAGAGCAGACTTGAGTGCATATGTAGTACAATGACCCATGCTGGCAGAAACAGTATGGGATATGTGAAAGACATTCCCAACATACTCTTGGAAACCTATATGTGAATACCTGCAGATTTTAAAGAGAATTTAATTAAAAGAAAAAAAAATCAAATAAATTAACTTTGGTGTATACAAATCTAACATCTTCAAATCTCCTCTCCTATAAAGGTAAATATTTATTAAAATATAATACTTAAGAATTACTAAAGCTCTGCATACAGCAGAGGCAGGTCAAGATAACACAAACAAATATATTACTATTTCTGTAAACAAAGTAACATACCAAGTGTTCGGATTTTTTAAAATTTATTTTTAGGAGAATAAGCATTCCTTCAATAGATATGTACAATTTCCTCCGTGCATACAAAATTCAAGCTTAGAGCACAGATCATACATGTCGTAGGACCAAACACCAGGATGCTATAAAAGACTTAATTCAGCAATGATCTTTATTTGGATGAGTGTACATATTTGCTTGAACGGTCTAAATAGACTAAATCAGTTAGTCCCAAACTTTAGCCAAGATTTAGCAGCAGATTAACAATATAGGGTTTGGGTTTCCATTTGGGAAGAAACAGAAGACAAAATTGAAGTTGAAATGCTTGCTCTAGATCAGGGGTGTCCAAACTTTTTTCAAAGAGGGCCAAATTTGATTAAGTGAACATGCGTGAGGGCCGACCATTTGCCTGACATTCTTTGAACCATTAAAATTAAATGCAAATTAACTATTTTATGCAAAGCTTATTGCAAACGGCATACTTTTCATTTCGTCACATGGATGACAAATCTAAACAGGTGTTAAATCACTCTGCCTTTCATATCTGAAGGCCAGATGAAAAAAAAATCCAGGAAGCTGAAATATATGTCAGGAACATTGTAAAGTATATTACATATTATTGGTAATAAAGGTTGTCTGTCAACTTTTAAGTTAAAAAAATACGAACAGGAACATAACACCAAGTATACATGTTGTGTCCAAATATATTTATAACTGATTTAGACCAACTGACATTAACTGAGATTTTACAATGTATTCATCTCAATACATATGGATTCGTTGGGGGCCATAAAAGATAGATATTGCCAAATTACCTGTGGGGCCGTATTAAACCGGAACACGGGCCGCAATTGGCCCGCGGGCCGGACTTTGGACATGCCTGCTCTAGATCAAGCCAAATGTATAGAAAAGCCATTGTTGGCTAAGCTAAAACAAGACCGCACTTTCTGTACACAACTTGCTCTGAACTGCTTTAGTTTCCCATATATTTTAAACAGAGAGCAAGAACAAAAGCATAAAATTCCTAGTTTAAAAAACAGGATTTTTAAAAATGTGAACAATTTGAGACCAAGTTGAAAAATACGCAAAAAATAAAAAATGAACTTACCAAGAAGCGAAATAGGTTGGGTAACAGGTGGAGGTATGTTAGGAGGTGTTACAGGTGGTGGAACAGTTGCAAATATTTTGGAACCATCACTAGTCTCAGCATTCCCTCTCGATCCAGAAACCACTGTTGGAATGGGATTTCCAATAGATAAGTCTTTCGTAGTGTCTTCACTTATGGTAGGCGCAGTAGCTGAGAAACCATTACAATAATATAAGAAAAGTTAGAAGTATTTTTTTCTACATACATCTCATTCCTTCTCTCTGTAGTTCCCTTCACCAATGTACAAACACACACTTACAATTTGGGATGCTTATTGCTGGAGTGTGAGGAACAGATACTGGAGGGGTTAAAGGAGGCGGTGGTCCAGGAGGAAGAAAGCCTATATGAACAAACACAAATTGACAAATTGTAACACTATATACTTTTAAATCATATTTTAATTTGGCAGTTTTATTGCAGACACTTTATATGGTTATAGATTTACATCCAAGAATATTCTTTAATATACCTGGGGGCAAATGCATTGGATTGAATCCAGGTCGCAAAAATGGAGGTGGTGGTACACCAGGGGCAAATCCAGGAGGAGGAATCGTGAAAGCAGGTGGCTGAAGTGCACCAACTACAGGAGGACCGGATGGATGTGGAGGAACCTATAGAGGAAGGAAGGAAGAGTTAGCCTCAAGACTACATGTACTTGATGAGAAAAAGGCCGGCTGCCCTTTGTTGGACAAGACAAAAAAAAAAAAAAAAAAAGTTAGTAAAAACTGAAATTGATCAGTGTTTGAGTAAAATCACAGCTATTTGGAGAACACACAAAATGCCATCACATTAAATTGCAGTTCTGCTCTGAAAAGTAACCAGATAAAAAAAGGCATCTTATAAATAAGGATGTTATTTGGTCATGGACTCTGAGACTAACAGAACTTCATGACTTCGTCTCTGGATGTCAGCCCTTGCAAGGAGGGCTCCAGGTCTGCTGTGACCAGTCATTTTCCCATGACTATACCACAAAATGTGCTTATTTTTACTATGACAAAATCAAATCCATATTTATAAGCAAATCTATCAGTTGTATTTATTTAGTTGCATCTGGTACTTTTTTACTCCTAATAACACTTCATTTAACTGAATGGTGTTTCTTAGAACGTAAGAAAAACCATTCTGGGCCAGACCAATGGTCCATGTATGACAGCATCCTGTTTTACAACAGTGGTCCCATGCCAGGTGCTTCAGAGAAAATAAAAGATAGGTCAATTATTTAGTGATCCTCTATCATCCAGTGTCAACATCTGGGAGCACAAACTATTTTATTAAATTCAAACTAAAGCTAGGCAACAACACTGAAGACAACGGGGCTAGGCATGTACAAGTGAAGGTAAAATGTGTGTTGAAAACATAGTTACTGTGGAAGCATGAAATGGGAATAACTAGCTCAATTCTCCAAGCCTCTTTTGATAGCTCATGCAAATTCAAGCAAGATGTCTTTTGCTACAAATAAACAAATTTGATATGGAAATTGAGAGCAACATACAGTTCCATCACCACTCTCAGCATAATGTTTTTTAAAAAATATATAACTTTCATAACGGGCTTGAATTTATTTTTGTTTAAATTTAGACTATGCCTGAAATATGACAAAAACATAGTCTTTCCTATTTTAAAATGTTATAAAGTTAGTTTTAAATTACATTTCCTTCCTGTGGTATTATTTTGGCTATATTTCTTAGATAGTTATAAACCTGTCCCCCCTTCTTTCACAAAGATGTTCTGTATTTCCTGCTAGTGAACATGAACATTTTCACTTGACTTTTTCATGTCAAATCAGCATCTCACTTATTGGTAAAAAAGTAAGTATGCTGCTTTTACAGCTGGTTAATGTGTCTTATCTAAAAATTAAATAAAAAGGACTTCTGATGTTTACATATTATAGTTCTTTATTCTCCTGGTTGAGTCTTAATTTATTGCATTAATTTCATTATTAGAACTATATCCCAAACATAAGCAAAAAAACCTCTCTCAGTATATTATACCAAGTAATAACAGAACATTTTCTTTTCTCAATTCCCAATGATTATAGGTATTATACTACTAAAACTTACTGAAGATTTTTAAAATTGCTTCATTAATCGGGAGACCTAAAGGGATCTCTAATGGGTCACTTAGAAGACTACATGTAGTTACTGACCAATGGTAGATTTTTTTAAGAGGTGTATATTTCCTAGAAAGGAATGAAAAAAGGCAAAGAATCTGCTTCAAATTCAGATTGTGGCCCTTCATCTTTTATAAATGTTTGATACTCAAGCAAAAAAGGCTTAACTCTATTGAGCTAGAACATTTTTTCAATTAAGATAAGTTGTTCATTGCAAACAGTGAGTTTCCAAATACCATTAACAACAACTAGTGGACAGTAACTACTAAGACACTTTAAAACTTGACAAAAGAACACCGAAATCACTGAATTATAGGGTTGGAAGGGACTGTCAGGTTATCTACTCTAAAACTCTGTTAAGATGCAGGACTTGTTGGGTCCAAACTTTATGGTCCCCTCTTTTAAGCCTTCAGTGAAAGATTCCATGACTTCCCTAGGAAGTTTTTTTTTCTGAGATTTAATCTCAATGTGCTATGCTGCAATTTGAATCCACTGTGACTCGTCTTTCCTGCTGTGGACAGAGAGAACAATTTCTCTTCCTCTTCCATATGCCAGCCTTTCAAGTATTTGGAGACTACTAGAATGTCCCTCCGCCCTTAATCTTCTCTTTTTCAAACTAAACATACTTAGTTCTATAAGCCTTTGCTCAGATGATGAGCAATGAGCTTGTATTCCTTTGCTCTGATCATCGTCATTGCTCATCTCTGGAGCCTTTAGTTTTCTTTACATCTTCTCTATTAAGTGGTGACCAAAATTGGACACAGTACTCCAGCTGAGGCCTAACTAGCACTATGTAGAGCAGTACTAACACCTCCTGTGACTTGCATGCTATACCCCTGTTAATGAAATCCAAAGACCCCCTGTAGAACTCCACCTGAGACCTTCTTCCAGTCTGCGATAACTCAATTAGATTTTTTTGCAGTTATTTAGCCAATTATGTATCCACTTAATGATTGGTCTACTTTGCCCCCATTTCTCCAGCTTACTCATGAGACTGTTGTTTGGGATGTGTAAAAAGCGTAGATGAATGTCCACCACACTCCCCTAACCACCAAATCAGTTTCCTTGTCAAAGAAGGAAATCAAGCTGGTTTGGCATGATTTGTTCTGGGTAAATCCATGCTGGCTGTTGGTGATCACCCATTCATCATCCAGTTATTGATAAATGGAATGCTTTACTCATTGCTCTAGCAGCTTCCCTGTATCACACACAGGCTGACTGGTCTACAGTTCCCCAGTTCTTCCTTTTTAAAAGGTGGTCATGACATTAGCCCTTTTCCAATCTTCCAGGTTATCTCCCGTCAACCATGAGTATGGTGCCAAGATTTCTTCAGTAATTCTTTCAGCACCCTGCTGACTTGATTGATTAGAAGACTCTGCCATATTCTTATCCCAAACTGCATCTCTTCTTTATTACCTATGGTAGGATGTGACCAGATGACTAGTGAAGTTATTTTCTGTGTGAAGATGGGAGCAAAACAGGCAATGAACAGCTAGCTTCACCTGCTTATCATCTGTTACCAGCACACCTTCATGGGCCCAAACCCATCCAGATTTCTTTTTTGCCTATTTGTAGAAAACCTTCTTGCCGTATTTAACATTTTCTGCCAACTGTAAATTGTGTCATTTCCATGTATACATCCATGTGTAGTCACATATCCTTCTTTCCATTTCCTGTATCCATCTCCTTTGGTTTTTAGGTAGCTAAAAAGCTCCTTGTGCAACCACATTGGTTTCCTGGGGCTCTTCTCTTTCCTTTGCTTTAGAACAGCTTGATGTTGAGCCTCAAGTACAGGGGTGGCCAATACTAACCTTCTGAGCTGCGTATGATAATCTTCAGAAATTTGAGACCTGGGTGCACCTGTTGAGTCTAGGGGTTTCTGCTCTGCACTGGAGTGGTGAGGCTTGTAGCTTCTGGCTTATAGGAAGCAACCACTGGGCTTCAACCCTAGTCCTGCTAAAGCTCCTTGCCTCGCCACAAGGCAGAAGCCCCAAGAAAACAGCCCCCAATCTAGCAGGTGGAGAATGAAGTGGCTCCTCTGCAAGATGCACTTTAACTGTGAAAGAGCTGCACAAAGCTCAAGAGCCACGGTTTGGCCATTCTTCCTCTATTATTACATCTTTTAGGAACTGTGCAGGGCTGAAATCCTAATAGAGAAAATTAAGTAGTAATATCTGTATTAGTTTTGTTAGTATATGATATGAGGTGTTGTGAATTATTAAAAAGAAATAATTATTGATTTTTTTATTTTATTTTAGAAGAATTTATTTTTCTGTAAGAAATCTTACTTTTGGAATTATTTTCTGCTTTGTGTGCAAGTGAGGAATTATATTAACAGATGATAGGTGATGCCAGTACCACATGAGCCAGATGGTTAAGAGACAGTGAAGGAGAGGCACCACCCTAATTATCAAAATTGCTCTAAAGGCTGAAGGAGGGCAGATTAACAATCCTAAAGCAAAGGCACATACCCCAAGGCTTAGATAAAGAGTGGAACCACAGACAGAGACGATAACAGCTGCAGAAACTCCCAAATAACTGAAAACACCACAGATTGGGAGTAACCTTGTGGTGCCAGCTACTTGGTAATTAACGACTTCAAAGTTCCCATAGAAGTCTGAGCCTTGCTATGCAACTTACTACTATAAAAGAAAGGCATATTACCCTGAGACTTTGGGTTCCGCTCTGCACTGACAGTTCCTTTTCCTTGTGTGCAGTTTCAGCTGGCCATTGAAATTGACCAACCAACGCTAAGGACTGGTAATTATAAGATTCAGTTGCAGAACCTTTGAAGGTGGTGGGGGGAGATGGTGTGTAAGTAAAGTATACGCTGATTTTAAAGCTTAAATCATACTCTAAAAACACATCATATTGCTGTATCCCCTTGAAAAAGACCCCATAATTCTTACAAGCATATGACCAGCCTCCTTTGACTTCTTTTCTTCCTAAGCGGTCTCTTCATGGGACCTTGACTATTATCTCTCTGAATTGAATGAAATCTGCCTTTTGAAGTCCAGTGCCCTCCTTTCCACTGGATCTTGAATTCTGTCAGATTACAATCACTTTCTTCTAAATTCCCAATCACCATTGCATTCATGACTAATTCATCTCTGTTGGTCAAAACCAGATCCAAAACGGATGACTCTTCCCCTCCCCCATGCTTTTGTTTCCTTGGCTTTCCAAATCAGAAAGCCGTCCTCTACCTATGCTAAGAACTTGCAGAACATATGTTTTGCAGTATTAGTCTTCAAACAGGTATCAGGGAAGTTAAAATCCCCCATTAATACTATCTCATGCTTGTTAGCTAATCTTGTTACAAGCTTGAAGAATAGCTCATCCACTTCCTCTTCTTGATCTGGTGGTCTAAAAGACCCCCGACTACTAACATCACTACTATTCTCTTCATTTTTCATCCTACCCCAGATACTCTGAGTAGGACTGCTGCTCACTTCCTCTTGGCCCTTGGGAGCAAGTATATATACATTCTTGATGTACAGTGCAACAACTCCTTCTTCCCCCACACCTATCTTTCTGGAACAAGGTATCTCTCAATGTTGGTACTCTAATCACAGGAATTGTTCCACCATGTCTCCATAAAGAAAATTATGACCTAATTTGCATTATATACTCTGACTTCCTGTTGGTGTACAGGTTCCTGATATTTCACAGTCTGCTTCTCTAATGTAATTGTTGATTTTAGTCCCTTTTCCAGAATTTAGCGCCATCCCTTTTCTTGAGCCTATATAAACAATGGGAAGATCTTTTATCATCATTCACCATACATCCTTGTCTAACACTCTTCCTAATCACATTAGCCAGACAATGACTGAAAGATGTTAGACTGAAAGACGGAGCTTGGTCCTGCCTTGAGGGCGGGGGGCTGGACTTGATGACCTCTCGAGGTTCCTTTCAGTCCTATGATTCTATGATCTTCATACGGATGGGATGGAGCTCATCCCAGCACAGTAATTCTCTTTCCTGAATTGTCATCTCATTGGGCCAAGAAGCCAAAGCCTTCTCAAGGATCTCACTTGTGCAACCAGGTATGCAAATTGAGAGCCTTTCATCCTGTCAGCAACGGAAACACACAGCTGGGTGGATTTCCTGAACAGTTTAGTAAGTTCTAGATAAAAAGCCAAGGCACACTGGGTACCAAGGGAGTTATGCAACTTTGGGTTAAAAAAATAAAAACGATAGAAAGATGTCCTGATTGGCATGAAAATCTGAAATCACTTTAGGGAAAAAGGCTGCGTGTGGCCTAAGCTGGACCTTGTCCATATAAAAAACGGTATAAGGAGGTTCTGACATCAATGCCTTGAGTTCAGAAACCTTTCTGGCCGATGTGATAGCCACTAGGAAGGCCCCTTTCAGGACAGATAAAAGAGGGAGCATGCTGCTAGAGGCTCAAAAGTTGGTCCCATTAGTTTAGATTAAGGTCCCATTGAGGGACAGGGATGCCTTGTATGGGGATAAAGTTTGTCCACACCCTTCAGGAAACAGCTCACCACTGGATCCATAAACACAGATTGGCCTGCTGAGCCAGGATGGAAGGCTGAGTTAGCCACCAAGTGTACTCTCATCGAAGCTATTGACAACTCTTGATGCTTTAAATGAAGTTGATAGTCCAGAACAAAAGGGTATTCAGCCAGTGGGGCCTCTATTCCTGTTGAAGTGACCAGACCGAAACCTCTTTCATTTGGTAATATAGGTAGCCTGTGTGGAAGGGTTTCTATTGACTAGATAGAAGAATCTCCTTTAGTGCCAATGAGCATGCCATCTCACACACATTTAACCACCAAGCATCCAGGCTGTGAGATGGAGTAACTCCAGACTGGGATGCTGCAGGCGACCATGGTCCTGTGTGAGCAAATCTGGAAACAGGGGTAAAGACCTGTTTTTCCACCGACAGGTCTAGCAGACTGGAGAACTAGTGCATCCTGGGCTATGCTGGGACTTCAACAACCACCGAGGCCTTTTCCTGATATATTCTCAGTAGGATTTTGTGAATGAGGGGAAGTGGCAGGAAAGCATAAAACAGGCTGCCTTTCCATGGCATAAGGAAAGCGTTTGCCAGGGAGTCAGGGCTGTGACTGAGGAAGCAACAAAAACTGTAGCATTTCCTGTTCTAGCAAACTGCAAAGAGGTCTACCTGGGCAGAACCCCACCTCTGGAAAATTAAGCCAGTTATATTGGGACGAAACAAACACTCATGCTTGGAAAGTTGTTAGTAAGCTGCCCGGTATTCTCAGTATGACCATTGTGAGGGTCCTGTTCTGATCCAGGATATTTGCAGGGCAGCAACCACTGTTCCCATCACCTAAATCTTAACCAAAATTCCTCCTCTCCCCTTGCTAGTGACAAAGAGAGAGTTCCTATATGGATGTGTAGGAAAACCCTGAACCAGGACAGAAGAGACTGACTGGTCTCCATCATCATCCTCAACCAAAAAGGATGGGGGAGGTAAGTGGTATTGAAGAGAGATGGGAATAAATTGCTCCTGATACCAAGAGGGGCTGAGTACCTGCAAGCAGTGAAGACTCTGGTTCATCTGCCACCAATAAGTTCTTTGGGTATCTAAATTCTAGTGCTACCAACATAACTGTGTGTTGCTAAACCTACTTTGTACAGAAAATTTAGAATATCCCAAGATAAGTGTCAACAAGATCAGGCTACACAGGGGGAGGTACTGATGGTAAAATTGAGCCCAAAAGCATCAATCTGAATGTTATCTTTGCAATCTCTCATATCTGGTGGTACTGAGACTTGACTGAACCTGTGTTTACTCTTGAAAGAGCTCCAGGGATTTCCAGGATTGCCAGTACCAGAGGAGTCCTTTGCCTCTACAGTATAAGGCGAAGAGGTGCAAGCTTCTGAGACTAGGAAACCAATGTCTTTTAAAAGCAGGCTCCTTATGAATGGTCTCTTCCTGGGCCCATTCAAACTGATCTCTGAATTCTTTCCCTGTCTGGGGAAAGCTGAGCAGAGGTCAAAGGAGTGCTAGATCTGCACTGAGACTGGTATACAAGGGCAGTTCTGACCTGACTCTCAAGCAGGGCATAAGGAATGCTACATTTTAGTAGCCTCAACTGAGTCTCCCATTTCTTCCTTGATCTAAACTGCAGGGTCACATAGACGTCATATTTCTGAAGGATGTGCACCTCATCACTACAGTGAATCAATGTCAAGTTCATAGCTAGCAGGGACAGCTTTCCAGAAAGGGAAGCACAGTCTGAACCCTGGTGAACCAGGCATGCCCTTCTAAGGAAAGGAAGTCTCTCCAGAGGAAGGACAGAAGAATAAAACAAATCCTTTCAATTTCTGAACTAAGCTAGTTATCAGTTTGTTAGTTAGAGTAAGAGTAAAAACCAGCAAGATTCACTAAAGCTTACTATGACTCCAATGCAACAACTGCAGAATTCCCCCAGCTCTAGTCTCAGGTCAAGGCAGATGAGAAGGAAATAAGAGTAGTTCACCCAGGCAGTCTTCCATAGCCTTGGGGTAAAGTATGAAGGGGGTAGGGTGTGTACACAGGCTAAATTGACACCACTAATTAAAGTCTCCAAATGAAGGCATGTGCAGTGCATCCACAGCTGAAGGAGAACGCTTATATGAACACTACAAAAGAATCAACATTACTGCACCAGAACAATGATTCTCTCAAATTCCAGTGAATTATTCAAAGGCTAACTTGCTGAAGTATTTAAAAAAAACCAACACACTAGTTTTTATTCAAATTCTACAAGGGGCGTATTTATTTTTAATTTAATAACAAGAAAAGCTACGTTTATTAGAGCATATGGAACGAGTACAATCTGTGATGAACACACACATTGAAATGTTACAACCAATTTGGTTAAGAACATTCATGAAGAAATTTACACTGGACCAAAACTTAAGCAGATTAAAAAGAAGGCAGTAGAAAGATTGAAGAAAAGATCTGCCAGATATACTCAAGCACACCATCCACTAAAATATTCAAAGTCAGTTACTGTTGGTCATTGCCTAGTAATTGCATTTTGAATTAAGATTTTTTCCAATTTTATTTCCTCATCTTCATCAAACTAATGTCAGAGGAAATATGCACTTGTACCGCATCTCCATCTTTTATTATTTCTTAATTTTTTTTGTTACAGGTTGGACCTCTCTGGTCCAGCACCCTTAGGATCTGACTGGTCCTGGACAAGGGAGTTTTCCAGACTTGGTAAGGTTTGGGAAGGGGGCCCACCAGCATTCCCGCTGGGCTTCTCTCCCCAGAACTCCTGGCCCACAAGCTGCAGCAGCCCTCCAGGAGCTCCTGATCCCACAAACTGCAGCAGTCCCATTAGAGCTCCCGGCAGACCTGCCACCTTGGATTCCACTGCCTGGAACCCCCCCCTTTCGTTCCCTTACCAGCTGGCTCCACTGCCCCACCAGCTGGCTCCACTCTGAGCTGCCAGCAATCTCTGCCCTTGGAACTCTCGAGTCCTGCAACATCAAAGGTCCAGCCGGACCATAGAGTCCTGGACCATTGAGGTTCAACCTGTACTATCATTTAGACAAACTTAAACAATGAATAGTCTTGCAGCACCTTAAAGACTAACAAAACATGTAAATGGTATCGTGAGTTTTTGTGAGCACAACCCAATTCTTCACGAAAGCTCACGATACCATCTACATGTTTTGTTAGTCTCTCAGGTGGTGAGAGACTATTTGTTTAAGTTTTTCCAGTTACAAACTAACACAGCCATCCCTCTAGACAAACTTAAACAATGAATAGTCTTGCAGCACCTTAAAGACTAACAAAACATGTAAATGGTATCGTGAGTTTTTGTGAGCACAACCCAATTCTTCACGAAAGCTCACGATACCATCTACATGTTTTGTTAGTCTCTCAGGTGGTGAGAGACTATTTGTTTAAGTTTTTCCAGTTACAAACTAACACAGCCATCCCTCC